CTGCTCGACCTGGGGCGGGAGCTGCGGGTCTGCGATCGCAGCGGCTTCCGCGAGGGCAGCTGGGAGCGGCGGCGTCGTTAGCACCCCTGTCAGCGCAACGCCAGCTTGCAGCAGCTGCCTCAGGGCCCCGGCGTCGCTCGGCAGCGTCTCCGACCATGGCGCTGCAGCAAGGACAGTGCGCCGTGGGCGCTCCCACACTGGGCACAGCCAAAGGCGATGATTGTGGTCTTCAGGAGCCAGCCCTCAGTGCGGGCACATGCCGGCGTCGCCTGTCACTTCGCCGCAATGGCGTCGGTCACGAGGTTGCCGCAGATGACGCTGCGCAGTGCCATGGCAGCCTCGGGCGCAAGCGCTTCGGCGGCGAGCAGGCGTCGCGTGGCCCATCTGTCCACCCCGTGGGCCAAGTGGGCGAAGCACGGCCGACGCGCAGCCACCTTGCGGCATTCGGCCTCTCGCCACGCCCCGATGGCCACGCGCTCTGTGGCTCGCCTCGGCTGCCTAGCCGGGCGCCAGCCGTGCGGCGCCGCTGACACGCCGACCCAGCGCTCCATGTCGTCGCCCAGCCCGAGCTCGCGGAGGCCGCGCAAGGCGGCGGCCACCGGCCCCACCGCCCGCGCCGCGCCGGCGTGGACTGCGGCGGCCGTGTTGCGCCACGAGGGAGGTCGAGCTGTCCTGCCTGGAACGCTCGCGCAGCCTGCAGCACCGGCGCAGCGGACACGACCGCCTTCGGGCCCAAGCGCCAGGTGGGGCTGAGGACTCCGAGCGTGAGCTCAGCCGCCGCGCGTGGCCCATGGCCAGTGGATCCCGTGGCAGCCCAGCGGGGCTGCTCGGCCGGCCGAATCTTGCAATCGCAAATGAGGTCGTCTTTTAGCTTTTCGGGTTGGCATCTGCAGCGCGATCTCCACCTGAGCAGCCTTCTGCCCCACGGCTTCTGACACCTTGGAGAGACGCTCGCTGCGAAGCCGGCCTTTCCGGTCATGGTGCAAGCTGTGTGGTCTAAACTACGTGTGTGGCATCCGCTGGCGGCCCATTGCGGCGACCAGGCGAAAGTTCTGGAAGCGCCAGCCCGCGCTCGGGGCGCCCACGGGGGGCCATGGGCGGCCACTTGGCGAAACACGCGATCCGCATGCCGAGCATGTAGAATTTTCAGTAAGATGTCAGCCAGCGTTGACTCCAATCAGCGACTTCTTGATTTTATTCGTGTATGTATGTATGCGTATATACACATATATATATATATATACACATGTATCTATATTTGCGGCGCAATATAGGTGGGGCAACCCATGTGACGCAGTAGGTGGGGCAACCCATGTGACGCAGTCTATGTAGTGCGACGCAATGCATTGGAACTCGTTGCAAAAAAATCCAACGAACGCAAAGCAGCGCACAGCACTGCCCAGGAATGCAGAACAAGAGGAACGGCACGCTGCAATGCGAGTCAACGCGACTCAATCCGAAGCAATGTAGTGTGCCTGGGCCCTAGCGCACCAGACGCTACCTTTGCCCAGTCAGGATTCAAGTTAGAACACAGAGGCGCCTTTATTGGATCTGTCTTCTCCCGCCGCGACGGCAGTTGGAGTTCACCTGCTGCGCTGGATAAGAACTGACACCCCTGCGGCAGCATGCCGTCAGCAGCTGCACGCAGTTCACGATGGGTGGCCATGGTGGGCTACCTATTTCGGCGGGTCCAGCTCCCTCGGCGGGCGTGTGTATAGACAAGTTGTTGCATTAACCAGAAGGTAGACATTTGGTTCCGGGAAAGGAATTCAGAGTTCCGGGGCCGCATCTTCAGCATGGTGTAGGACAGTATCGGAGGTACAGGTCCTCATTCGGATCATCCTCATCGTCATCGAAATCTTGTTTCATCGGCATCGGTGTCGACACCATCACGTGGAAGAATCCATGTTCGGTGCGCGGAGGCGCGGTGTCGAGGGGAATATCTCGAGAAGGCAAGCGATCATCGGGGCGATCTAAATGGGCACGGGAATAATGGTACAATGCCCAACAGCAGTCCCATTTTGAACAGGACGCTGTCCGCGCCGCCGCGGACGTTTTTCCTTGAAGACAAAAAGCCGCCTGCCCAACAGCGGCCGCTGTCGGTTCTGGACGACATTTGGTGTTCGGCATTGTACCCATGTTTTCCGTACCCATGTCGGCCGTCCGCAAATCAGTCTACATCGTCCAAGTTGCTGCATCAAGGCTGGAGTTAAACGCAATGTTGCTGGACTTCGGCTGTGTTATGTTTGTCGTTCTGGCAGGGAGGTGCAGGAGAACGGGGCAGAGCAGAACGAAACACAAAGCCCTGCAGTGCATCCTGGATCGCCGAGGATCGGGGGCAACGATTGGGGGGGGTAGGCAGAGGGGGAGATGCATCGTCCCTCAATCGCACATTCGTCGCCGATAGGGGACCGATAGCCCCAACCGTCCCAGGAAGGTTTGGATTCACTATCGGGGGTCTGTCGCCGATCTATCGGCGATGCATCGCCGATTCCAGGTCGACGCATCCCCCCCTCTGCCAGTCCCCCCCCTATCGTTGCCCTTCAGAGGAGGAGAGCTCGGCCACCCCCGGCCTTCGTCC